TGCAACAGATCACGGCTGGTTTGTGATCCGTTGCACCATCCCATGCTCAGTTCGGACCACGTGTTATATGGATGAAAGCATCTCAGAACAAAATGAATAACTGCATTTTGTTGCACATTGAAAGGTGATAACTTGATTCACTGAGACTTGTGATGGGAATTACAGCTCTTTTTAGTGAGCCAGATTATTCAGATCAGCCCACCAGCTCTTTCAGCTCCCGAATGGCTCTTTATTTTACCACTTATACATTTTAAAATTCAGCTAAATTTAGTGTTGTTGGGTTTATGATATGTACGTTTGTGTGCACATACTTATTAAATAATTCAGTACATCCTTTATACTGAAGTAATCACAGGTAAAAATCATGTTTTCTAATATCAGTAAATTGCTGTAGCCAATTGTTTTCATTGCATTTACAGACCCTGGTAACTCTCTGAAACAACCCAATGACTGCACTGACTTGCTTGTAGAACCCTCTGCTTCACAAAGCAGATAGAAATCTTGTCATTCTGTCTTGTAGTTTTTTTCTACTGTCTGTGGAGGGTAAAAAAGATAAGGAAAGGGAAAGCGGCTCACAGTCGGGAGCCGGCTCTTTGAACCGGTTCGTTCATGACCGACGCATCGCTAACTAAGACACAGTGATATGAGTACTGGAGTGCTTTATGTGGTCCACAGTACACACAGCTGGATCACTGAGACACCAAGATTTACAGTAGATGACTAGAGGGCTGAGCTTATTCCTATTATTTTGAGTCAAGTAATCCAACTCTTTTTTAAAGTGAAAGAGAGATTCGAGATCTATTTCAGTAGTGTTGATAAATGATATATTTGGCTATGAAAGGAAAGCAATATGAGATTTTTAGACAGCACTACCTGCACATGATTGACACAAGACCAGCGAGGAGATAAAATGTCCAAGTTTGTCCACAGGGGGCGCCAACATTCACTGGTTTTCCCTAACCTTTTCTTTGTTTTTTCAGTTTGTGCTGTAGTCACTTATTCATCTCGCACTGCCACATAAGTTTGTTTGATTACAATGACACATCTGTATAGTTTGTGTGTTTGGACATTTCTGATTCACGTTAACATATAGCTCACATGTTGAATCTCTGTCACCCATCCGCTGTTACACCTTCTCTGTTCTACATCTACAGCAAATCCAGCCTCTTTCTACTTGTTAAAATAAACTGCTACAGTAAAAAAGCTAAGGGCATGTTTTCTCTTCTTTTTTTCCCCTTCAAGTAAAGCTCAAATCCCACATTTGAGTGAGGGATAAATGGTGGTCATGCCTCCAGACTTTCGACTAGATGATTTGATTCAGATAAACAAGCGGCATGCTGCACAGACTCTCGTGTTTTCTGTGTAATCTTCTGCTTGTAACAGGAGCTTTGATTCCTGTTCAGGTGGGGGATTTCTCCTCTGGACCAGGTAAAACATTAAAGCCTCTCACTTAACAGTCAGAGCTTACCTTAGGCATTTTTGCTTTTTTTTTTTTCTCCCCCAATTTTATTCATTATATTTCACATTTGTGTGTTTTTTGGACAATTCTGTTTTGCTTTATTTTTTCTGAGAGAATATCAGACACAAAGTGAACCCCTGTTGGGATGGAGGTTGTAGTTTTGAAAAAAGTTAATCACCTTTGAAAGATTTACTTTTTCTGGCCATTGGGGCTAAATATTTGTACTTTTTCTTTAACAATGCATTAGTGTCTAAAGTTTACAGTAGTGGAAAAATCTCTGGGGATCTCTGGCATTGAATATCTAGAAAACTCAAATACATGATCTGGCTGTTTTCTTGTTTTGTTGAGGTTCATTAAACCATTTTTAATTCAAAAGTGCAACTAAAAATATACAACTGCTTTCTGGAATTTCAGGCTTTAACATTATTATACATATTCTGCACACAGACTGATGTTAGCAAAACCATTTGAGACCATGTGAAACACTGAACAATATCAGTGTTGTTTGATAAATTAAAACGTTGTAAAATTAAGGTATTAAATCCACGCAACTGTTGGAGAAGTGACCATTTCTTTGACATATCCTGTGACTTCTTATGTAACCATCTGACAGACTTTAGCCAAACACCTTTTTCTTCATGAATGTACATCCTCTGATGGTAAAAGTTCCCTCTCTGCAAGCACACAGTATCTCCACTTTGTCACGCTGCGTTCACAATCCTTTCTTCTCTCCGGCAGCGCCCTGCAACATGAAAGAACAACCTGCTCGTTTTATGTAAATAACAACAAGGCCGCGTCTCCTCTGTGTGCCACTCTTGGTGAGAATACCCCAAGATCTTTGCAGCAAATTTTTTCCCGTTCTCCCCTGCCGGCAAAGTGTGCCACAATAGCAGCTGCAGCAGGAAGGCAACTTAGCCTCCAGCAAGACTAAAGTGTGCATCAGAGTAAAACAGTTGTTTACTTTGTTTGAACTGCACTATCTCACCCACGGGAGCCTGTGCGCTTGAAGTTCTGCATCTTTCACTCTCAACTTGTGACAAAGAGTCGGATGAATAACAATGTCATTTTCTCTACCTTCTCCCCCCTCCCCCTTTTTTCTCCACTTGTCTTCTTTTCTGAGTTCAGTCTATTTCTTTTTCCACCGCCGCCCTTCTTCTTCCCCTTTGCACTCCTCTCAAATTATTCATCGTCTCTTTTAAACTTTCAGCATGCAGTAAATTGATGGTGACACACAAACTACATTATGTTTTCTCACTCCTTTTTTTATAAACTAACAGCACTGCTCATCTCTCTTTAATTGCGCAGCAGGTGGGGACACAGATGCACACAGATGTGAGTGCAGGAGGCCGAGATGAGAGGAGGGGAAACGAGGGGGAGGGATGAAAAAGACGGCGTAGCGGCGGATTGTGTAACTTAGTTAAAGTGATGAAGCAGAGGTCCTAAGTGACCCAGCTCAGATGTGAATGTTGTCTGTGCGCTGAAGTGGATACAAGAGAGCAGGAAGAGAAAGACATGATACTTATTCTTTACTCTGCTTTGACTTTAAATTCAACTTCAAACTACTACTGCTCAAGAATGTAGCACATTTAACCAACTTTATCAAAGTTCCCTCAAATAAACTTGAGTAAAAAGATGGACATAAATATGCAAGATGCCATTCAATCTCACTTGTGAATTTCCTTCATGAAAGCACAGTCTAAGGTTTACACTTGAAGACTTAGTAAATAGTTTGGAAAAAAAGTTACGGTAACAGTTTATTTGGTGTCTATCTCTATAACACATTATAAATATATGTATAATGTGTTATAATCACGTCATAGCACTGTATAACTATAGTTATAAACACTCATAGATGATCATAATGCTTTATAGCAATAATCATATCACATTATAAAGCGTTTATCATGACTTACAAGGTCAGGAATTATAATGTCTTTTAAGAGTTTACAACAGTTTTAATGCATTTTCTATGTGGGCATTGTCAGTGAGTTGTTAACAGTTATAACACATTATAATACCTGACCTTGTAAGTCATGATAAAATGCCTTATAATGTGTTATGATTGTTGCCATAAAGCATTATGATCATTTATGAGTGTTTATAACTATAGTTATACAGTGCTATTACGTGATTTTAACGTGTAACAAAAAAATAATATATTTAATAATAATTATATACTCTCATAATAATGTAATGTATAACATACTGAATTTCCCTTCTGGGATTGATAAAGTTCTTCTTCTTCTCATTCTTATTATACATATATTTATAATCTGTTATAGAGATAGGCGTCAAATAAAATGTGTTACCAAAGTTACATTTAGACGTCTAATTGACCTCCTTTAGACCAAAAAAATGCTCAGTGAGCTTATATTAAGTAAAGAGGCACATATACCTTGATTTCACTTTATTGATCATCCTATTGGTGGCTTTATGGTTTTTGTTTTTATTGACTTTTCCTCTTTAGTTGACCTTACTGATTTTGTCAAATTCTTGTAAACTTACCTGTAATTTCGCCTTAGAAAGTACTTCATCAATATGATTGTGAATTATTTTGCAGAAATATAATAATGGTTGGAGTCATATTGAAGCATTTTAGCAGGTCGCCTTCCTAAGACTCTAAATGAGCAGAAACCTCAATAATAATTAAAGTCACATAAGCCGTGATCGTCATGTTCATCTATGTCTCTTCTGTGCTGTTTATCCTTAAAGCAACATATTTTCTAGTAGTTGTCTTTTTTCCCTATCAGCGCATGTTTAAGTTGAGTGTTTGCTCTGTATTCTTGTGTTGTTTTCTCCTCCGTCTCTCTGTGTTTTAATAGAGATACAGGCCTGGCGTGTCAGTCTGGGGACACAGAGAGCAGAACAGAAGACAGATCAAAGCTTCAAAAGATTATTGATCGGAGGAGAGGCAGGTTGTAGTTTTGGCTCAGGATCAGGTTGAAGTGTCCATACCTCTGTCCTTGATCCAGTTATGTTTGTTTTTCTTTCTTGATGAACATGACTTTAGGGAAGAGAAAAAAGGCATGTAATCCAAGAGTGCGTGTGCTATTGTATGTACTTTTGTGATTGAAAACACATGTCTGCGCATGTCTCTCAGCTGCTGCTTGATTTTCTTCCTCTCTCTCCCTCTTTTGTCTGTTTGTGTGGATCCGTGTGTGCGCTGCTGTTTGTGTGTCACTATGTCCACAGCTACACAGAAATGATAAATTTGAGGTTAAAAAAAGACGAGATCATAAATAGTCACACTTTTACTGATGTACAAGTCAAACGGTGAAAGATATCCAGGCTGAAAAATAGTCAAATGTTGATTTGATGTGTGTTTTTGGTGAGACAGCTTTCCCCACATCCACACTGTTGCCTCCTCTTTCCACCCTCTTCACCTCTCCCACAGAAGATGAATAAGTAATTCTTGGTATCATCATATGTGATTGAAGGGGCTCTGAAAAGCAGCAGTGAGGAGCGTTGCCCGATGAAGTGAAGTGTTGAAAAGAGTGATTATTTTTGCTTCACTGAGGTCTTATTTTTCAGAGTGCCACTAAAAGCATGCGAGACTTGTGTCACTTTGCACTGAGAGGACGGAGCGGCTGAAGGGTGATTTGAGAAGAGATGAAATAAAAGGTAGTGACACCCCACTCCCCACCTTTTTTTTCCCCCCTTTTTCTCAAAAATCTTCATTCTTCTAGCGGCTCCACTCATCTTCTCCATGAGGCAGGCTGGGCTGTATTTATGGCCGAGTGCCCACAGCTAAAGCTAATATTATGAGCTTCCACTGTGCCATCCATATTGTTTTACCTCGCGTTGCCTGCGGTGAGGAATAAATAAAGTGTCATTGGCAGCTTTCAAAGCACTCCTCCAGCAGGTTGGAGAGCAGACTGGGCTGCAGAGATGGAAAGAAAAGGGGGCTGTCACTTTGGGTTGGGTAATTTTTGACGTGCACGTCAAGGCCTTGACAAGGGGAATGTGGCCGGCTTGTACATTAGAGCTCAAGCTCACAGGCAAGAAGGCAGCACAGCACTAGGGACAGGTAGTAATGCAGTCCCAGAGAGTGCTGCTCATCTGCTAACACTATGTACTTGTCTGGTGCCACACAAGGATGCCCCCTGTCGCCTTGGCTCCACTCCCCCCACCCCCCATCCCTCTGCAGAAATGACTTAAGTCAGTGCGGGAAGAATCCATTTACAATGTGTGCTTTATAACATCTCTTTGACAATGCAGTCATGGATTAGAGACATTTGTGATGAATCTTTCATGGAGACTTTTTCCCCCCATCTTTCTTTTCCATGTGCACCAGGCTTTTCAGGGTCCACATGTGTCTGCTCGGATGTCATCGCAGGAAGACGGGGAGAGGAAAAAGCAATGGGTACTCACCAAACGAAGAAAAAAAGGAAAGAGGAGGGGAAAAGGAAAGAGGAAGAGTGACACAGAATCGTCAGAGTGGGGCATTAAAATTTATCTCCAAGTCACAATGGCAGCCATGATAGCAGCGTGAAACTTTCCTTTGAAAATGAACGTCACTTGTCCTCTCAGTCATGCACTTCCCTCGCAAACCAAGACAAGCGCTCTCTGTCCTCATCAATTCTTCACCGCCATTTTGACATTTATTTTACTCATTTGCATAACTGCTCCCCGTGTCTCTTGTTTCGTCTCGGTTCGAGCACATGCAGCATCCTCGCTTTTTTTTTTTCTTCAACTTTTTTAAAAACGCTGCTTTAAAATTAATGCTGGCCCTGAGAAATATATAAATATATCCTAAAGTTGACATGATGTTGTTCTACAATATTCTCTTTGAAAAGCGATTTTGTTCATACTTAAAGCTGCTGTGGAGGTGCGGCTAACGCGCACCCGGGCTAACAAACACGCACTCTGTTGTCCAGCCTCGCCATCCCTGCTTCTGTCTGTCTGTCTGTCTGTCTGTCTGTCTGCTCTGTGATGTTAACATGGAGAGATGCATACTGAATGATACAATCCAGCCAAGTGAATGCTGCTTTTTTAATGCGCAGGCCTCAAGCAAGTCGAGAACTTTACTTGTTTACTTTGTAGTTTTTTTGAACGTTTGCAGACACTTTGGGAGCCTCTGAATGTGCCCTGTGGCTTTACACAAACTTGATTTATTTTTAAAGAAAAATAAAGACACTATGACCTCTGAATAATTAACACAGTGTGTCTTCATGTTGACTTTAATTACTTTGTAGATGTCCTTTCAAGTTGTAAAAGGGTACTTGTCGAGAAATCTTTCCATTCCTTTTTGTAATTTTCTATATTTCTATATTTTTCCTGGAGATAAAATCTGAATCTCTCCATTTATTCCCTAAAATAAATCTGCATAAATCCTTCTCCCGCCCGAGCTGCTGTTGTCCGGCTTTCAGGCGGCTGCTCCACAGATGGCTTTTCTCTCTTTCTTTTTTTTTCCTCTTTTCTTCCTTTTTTTATACTTCAGGCTCACCTGTCTGCCCTCATTGTCCATTTGAAAGTCAGAGCAGCGGCAAGAACCTGAGAACGACTCAATGCAAATGCTGCATGAAGAAAAAAGTATTAAAAATTGATCACCTTTCCATTTGAATTCAAGGAAGCCATCATTCTCCATAAGCAGGCCTGTCTCTTTAAATCAGAGGAACTGTCGCTTCTGTGACTGCCTGTTTACAAAATATGAGGCTGAAAATGAGACCTGCTCCCTGCGGACAGGCTCCTTGTATAAATATAAATAATGAATATTAGATAAATAATTTCTGCCCCTTTAATAATGCACAACTCACGAAATTCACTTACACTGTGAAACTGGAGAATAGGACTAAAAGTAGATAATGCAGTGGTACAATGGAGGTGAGATTGTGTGTGTGTGTGTGTGTGTGTGTGTGTGTGTGTGTGTGTGTGTGTGTGTGTGTGTGTGTGTCGTAGAGGAAACAGGACAGGTTAGAAGGCCCCTGCTGACCCTCAGGTCACCTGAGTGAATCCTACAGTGCAGGTAAAGATGTTTGGCTGAATTCTCACCATATACTCTGCTCCAAGTGGATATAAAAATAATTATTTAGTGTTATTCAATTAAGATATCCTGCTGAAGGAGGTCAAATAAAAATGTATTTACACAAGCTAATCAGGGGAGTTTGATGTGAACTGGAGCCCAGTTACTGCTTCGCTCCCTGGGGGAAGGTGGACTCTGGAGTCAGGCAGAGCTGCTCTGCTGCCTGTGTGTCTTATGGAGAGAAAAAGAGGGTGGAGATTTGATGAATGGTTAATTATGAAAACCCTTGTGCCAAAGCTAAAACTGTAATTAGCCTTAATTGGCTAATTGGATGGAATTGGTGGATGGTATAAGCTTAATTGCCCCATTTTATTCAAAGCATTTAGTGCAAAATAACGGACGTAGTCGTGTCAGAGACAGTAAAGCCCATTTTTGTTTAAAGTATAATAAATGTGTCCTGTAGAAATAGTTTTTTGTGTGTTTCTCAAGATGTACTGCAGCCTGATCTGTCATCATGACCCCTCTGAAACATTTTTTTTTTTACTGTTTTAAAGTTCATGAGAATTATTCCTTTTGTTAAATTAACCCAAAACATTCGAAAATATAATTTTGTTGCTTTTAATTGTGCCAGTTTTATTAACACATAGCTAATTACAGCATACCTAAAGATTCTTGACCTTTTTGTGATTTGCCATTTGCAGACTTTCAACTGCACCAAACTGGTTTCTGTTTACTCTAAACTTCTTGGAAAGCACAACAGGAGGATTCATGTGGTGAAACTCACTCCGAAATTGGGAAAGAGCTTTTTAAGGAAGTATTTTAATAAGTCTTACAATTTGAAATGTTCAAGTCACTTAAAGCAAAAGATGAAAAATGTGTTTACTTTTTCTTATGAATAGGTTATACATTTAATTTTATAAGAAATGACATTATAAAGAGAAACAGCACCAGTAACATGTTTTCAAGTTGACTTGGAAACTCCAAGAACTTTACTTTTTTTACTCTGGTATGTTTTGTTTCTCACCTGTGCACCACTTCAACCTTTGCATTGACTTGTTGTGCAGCAGCCATAAACTCCAGTGAAACCACCTTTTTTTTTTTCCCCTCTAACCTGCTGATTCACGGTGCACAGATGGATGGGTGCAGAAACCTTCACTGCGCTCTGAGACAGACCACTGAAACAAGAATTTTCTCTCCTCTTCTCCCTGACACACAAACACAAACTCTCACTGAGTATTAGAGCAGCTTTGAGTCAAGGTGCTCAGACTGTGTGCTAATAACACCATCTAGAATTCACGCCCTCCAAATAGGTTAATGTGTTTTTGCCCAGAGGGCCCGATCTACCTCTGCAGCAGAACTCTCTCTGAGCTTCCATTAAGCAACAACACTGAGGCCTATTAGCTGCTGTGGGTGCAAGGAGTGAGAAGTCTGTACGAACACTCTTTTATGCTGGTGTGTGTTTGTGTGTGTGAGAGAGATATGTGTGTGTTTTTGTGGACCGTGCACTGAGAGTGTCACTACCTGTTCAGACCGGCTGCCCTGTGTTAACTGTTGCAGGAGAACAATGTTATGGCCCCTGACAGCTTGTTAAAGAGTCCACCATGTTGGAGCTGCTCTCACTTTGTTGTTTCATTGCAAACTGTGATACACAGCGCACATTTCAACACGTTGACAGGACACACTCACACAGCCTCAGATTATTGTTTGTGAAGACGTTGGAGTGTGAAGAAATAAGTGGAACAACAGAGAAATTCATGCAGCTTTTTGACTCCAGATCAATATTCAGTGTCTCTTCTTCTTTAATAAGATCCGTCTGTGTCTTAAAATGATTTTGGTTTCATTCTGTATTGATTAATGTGCATTTCTGCTTTTTTCCACTGTTACTGTTTTTAAGTGAATGTATTAATATATCAGGATTGGATTTAAATGGGTAAAAACATATCTCCTGTCAACCTCCAGGTAGACAAACTTTAGTGGTTTCTGCTTTTAACAATGTCTCTTTTATAAATGTATATATAATTTAAAATCATTGTTATAATGAATACAATTTGGACGTTTAAAAATGTAACGTAATGAGGGTGTGTAAATTGTTAAATGATGGGCTAAAAACTCAAGGTGCTTGTCTTGATTAGACATGCAGTAAAGGAATTGTAGATTTAGGTTAAAGCCTTAAATCCTTAACAACAGCTGACCTTTCCACTCTCTACTTCACAGACCGCTCACATGACGAAAAATCTTGAATTAATCAAATTTACATAAATACTAAACGCAGCAGGAACATTTTTAACCTTTTGAACGTTTTCGTATCTGAACTTTCTCTTCTCTTGAACAAACTTTGGATGTTTTTCTTTTTGGGATACACACACATGGAGAATGCCTCCAGATTTATCCGTCTGTTGTTTGGCATTTTCTGTCGTCAAATCAAGGTTCATCCCGCTGCAAACAACTCTATCATTCAGAGCTGGACTCCTTGGTGATATTTTGGCAAATGATACCAAAACGTTTTAACTCAACGGCATAATTATTGAGAACAAAAAAAAAAGGGAATCTTAAGACCGGCTTAATCTGAAGGTTAATTAAAGTCAGGAATGGTCCAGTAATGGAGCAAATACGAGTCAGTGTTCTTAATATTTTAGATATCAGCTTAATTTATAGTCTCAAAAAGTATATTATATTTAATATTTTACATTACGCTGCAAAAGACAAGGCCGTAAAGGCTAGATTAAAATTTAACTGAGAATTTCAAATTATTAAACAAACTCTTTATTCTTCTGGTTTTTGTTGTGATTACCTTTTTAATTTGTGAATTTAAGTTTAATTTCTTTTAGCTTTAATCCATAAAAAAGACATTTTTAAAACTTTTAACAGTATTGGTGTTATTTCTGAATGTATTCGATCTAATAGGTAATGATTTTTCTCATCGATTTGGATTCCTCAGTTATAGCCGTGAGCTGTGTATAGTGTGCATACAGTATATAACTTTGTGCAACATACAGCTGAAGGGGATATATATTTGAGAAACACTGATTTCACAGCACTTAAAATGGATTTAGATTGTATTAGCGATGAGATCTGATAGAAGATGTATATACACTTGGTGTTGTAGGTATTTTTTTGCAGTTCTTTCACATGAATAGATACCAGGAAATGAATTTATAATACAGTATTCATATTTAACAACAGAAAATATGAAGGTCAAGCATTTTTGTCCGAAGATTGTCAAAACGTTTCTCTTTGTGTCAAATAAATTTTTACAAAATGTTCTTGACGTGTTTCAACTTTTATACCTCCCCATACAGTATTATCCATTATAAAACAACATGTGAATATGTAGGTTTGAAAGTAATTTTTTAAATCAGAAGTCACATATTTTCTGATAATAACATATATAATAATAATAATCTAGTATTATATTGTTTTACGCTGCTCAAACATTTCTTCAAGTGAGGGATAATTTCTGCTCTCACAGAGGATGCTGAATGTTTTGTGTCAGCCTGACCCCTTGTGGACACCCATTGTACTCACTGCTGCTCCGCTCTCCCATTACCAGAAGCATCACACAAAACAGTACAAGGGAAACATCCATAAAACTTGTATAAATTTTGTTTAAATGAATAAATCATCAATT